AAAAGATCAACGAACTGAGATGAGTCGTTAGTAAAAATGTCCACTAGTGTGAGAATTACTTGTACTTCTGGTAGCTACTCTTTAAATGATACAGTGAATATTCATTTTTGTTGAGATTTGTTGAACATGTTGCATATTACTTGTAAATATGTGGCTTCCTTTAAAATATGAATTCTCTGTTGTGCCGTTTATAAGGATGTAAAAAAGATTGTTCGTAATTAATGTGTGATATTATGGCCAAGAACAGTCCTAAAGTTTCATAGTAGGAATAAATTACTTTTTTGTAGACACCTGTGAATTATCATGGAAACGAAGATAACTGACATTAAAAAGACTATGAAACATCAACTATACTTCAATTTTAAGAAAGAGGAAAAGAAAGAATAAATAACACAATGTAATACAAAAAAGACTATAGAAGAATTGTGTTTAGAATTTTACTTTCGCAGCTTCTCTAATTGTCATCATCCTGTCCCACTCTAGCATATTTGTCTTCCATTTTTTGTCATGAGGGCATTTTCAGGAGTTGACATCAGTGGGGCTATGTGTAGATTTGTGTGTGTATGTTACGATGTGTTTTTATGAGTGGAATGTAAATGCACATTAACAAAGCGAAAGCTTGTGTCCCAGATATTTTCTGTATTCATTTAACAAGCAAACACTGAACACCTACTGGGTACCAGGCACAGTGCACCGTAGTTTTTTTTTTTTTTTTTGCGGTATGCGGGCCTCTCACTGTTGTGGCATCTCCCCCTGCGGAGCACAGGCTCCGGACGCACAGGCCCAGCGGCCATGGCCCAGGGGCCCAGTCGCTCCACAGCATGCGGGATCCTCCCGGACCGGGGCACGAACCCATGTCCCCTGCATCTGCAGGTGGACTCTCAACCACTGCACCACCAGGGAAGCCCTGCACCGTAGATTTTTGAGAGTTAAATTCTAGTATTTCATATTTACTTAAAGATTAGGTTATTGGGGAGGCAGTAGAAGTGGCTGTATTTTTATGTCTGCATTTATTCTGCATATATTGGTAACTTTAACCCTGAAGAACGATGGTGCCAGGAGAAATTTTCTCATAGTTTGACTCTAAAAATTTGAGTACTATTGAAATAGAACAGCATGTGTATACAGGGCAGAGTAAATAGTGCACATTTAACAAATGTTCTGCTTCCCATGTACTTTCTTTTGTGGTACGCGGGCCTCCCACTGCTGTGGCCTCTCCTGTTGCGGAGCACAGGCTCCGGGCGCGCAAGCTCAGCGGCCATGGCGCACGGGCCCAGCCGCTCCACGGCATGTGGGATCCTCCCGGACCGGGGCACGAACCCACGTCCCCTGCATCGGCAGGCGGACTCTCAACCACTGCACCACCAGGGTAGCCCCCCATGTACTTTCAATTCTGGTAACTTGCATTGGATACAGGAATTCCTAGGTAAATCTGCCCTTAATTCAACTCTTTTTCCACACAGCACTTTAATTGACATGCAAAAACTGCTTCTGTGGATGTCTTCAAAGAGGAGACTGATTTTTGCCCTTGATCTTTGGTTATGCTCGACTTGGCCTAGCCAGGATCCCCCCTTACCCATGACTTAGGCCCTCCTAAGAGACTTCCATTTGCTCCTTTTTATTTTCAAAAAAGTATAAATATGGTTAAATTTCTAGAAATCAAAAGTCAGAGAACTTGTGCAAAATTGAAAGGCATTTCTGCTTTTCTTAAAAGCTTAACCACGTAACATTGCACTGTGCACTTGTTTCTGGTATTCTTGATTCATTGTTCTCTGAGGATTTGACCCATACAGACATATCTATGTCATCAAATCCTCGTAATGCCAGTTGAGGCTCAGAGCTTAAGTTCCAAAGCCATGTGCAGTCAGTTGCAAGGCAAATAAACTTGGGAAGCCTAGTTTCATGAAGCCTAAAAATAGAGAAAAATTATCCCAGAAGAATCTAGAAGGCTGAAAAGTAAATGGAGGATGGAATAGTGTCTAGAATAGCATATGACACTGGTTTAATCTACTTGTTTCCTCTGTGCCCAAATATGGACAAATGAGTTTTTTCCCTTTACATAAATGCAAACATACTTCCCATATTCTCTACATAGAATTTTTCATTGGGATTTCCAGAGGCCTACTATTATGTGAAAATAATTTCTCTGTACTGTTGACATCTTACAGCTCTTTTTGAAAAGTATTTTAGTGCCCTGTATGAGGGAAAATCCCCAACAACTTTTAATAACTATAATATATCCAACCATACGAAACGTTATTTGCTGTGTTGAAAATGAACTCGAGAATTGTATATAATATTGTTCAAATAATGCCTTTTGAGGGTTTGTGTGAGCTAGTGTCTCAGCCTTCCTTATGCAACATCTTGGGATATCTTCAGATATACCATAGATTTTGAAAGAGAGTCAAATAATTTAGATTGCCCTTTGATAAATATATGGCGCACACCACTTTTAGTAGTGAACAATGTGAAATCAAGGACTCAGAAAGAATTGGAAACATCATTTCCAATAAATGTTTTGCATTTAACTCCTCAGAGTTGATCTTTCTCTTTCTTTTTCCCCACTGTCTTTGGATTCACAATCCAAGTGCCTGGAAAGCTGGACACATCTCTGGTGCTTTGACTTGAAAAAGGTCAGTGGTTGTGACCTAGTCTGTTACCTCTAAGCTCCTTCTGGACAAATTGCCTGTTATCTGTTGTTATCATCATTGGAGGCATTTAGGAGATTTTTATAAATGCATTTGCTCTTATTTAAAGAAAATCAGCACTGTAGACAACAGCCAAGAAGTATGTCTCCTACCCTGAAATTTATTTTAACATAAAGAAATCAGCCTGCCTTCCTCTTGCCAAACCACAGTATGTATGGTCCCTGTGTTTAACCTGTGTCCCCTTTGCTTAGCAATAGTCGGTAGTGAACCTTTGGGAAGTTGATGACCCCAAGTAAAGGTCCAAGTTGTCTGTTGTCTGATTCCTTGAGGTGGTTATTGAAGTAATCATTTCAAAGGAAAGGCGGGGCGGTTACTTGTTGAATTGATTTCACAGGTGATATGGAGAAACACCGTTTTTGCTCATGGTAGTCTATAATATTTCAACTAAGTTATATTGGGCACCAGCAGTGTTCATGGTACTTGTTTGACAGAGAAATATACTTGTGCTTTTGATACTAGTTGAAATTAACCAGATAACAGCTGGATAATTCTTGGAGTTCCTTAGTTAAATGTTTGGTAGAAACAATGTTACTACAAGTTTGTGCTAATAATGCATAATTACTAGGATGTTTTTCATAATTATATAAATAATATGTTAGCTGTAATTATAGCCAATAGTAATGTAATGTCAACAGTCTATATATATATATATAACAATATATGATAACAAATATATTGGCCATAATTATAGCCAATGATAATGTAACTATCAACAGCCTTGTTATACCTGCTTTTTCTGTTCCTGGTATGCCTAGAAACGTAGTAGACTACATCAAGAATAAGGTGTCCTGAATTGACCTAAGGAGTTTAAAATGGTGAGGTCAATAGTTGTCAGCCTGGGTAGATGAACTCCTAATATACTGACTCAAACTGCCTCATGTTGCCATTGATTTCCATATGCTGTATGCATTCTGCCTCCCCACTGTTTTGTAATGTAATACGTTAAGCACAGGAAAGCAGTCTGGCCTCCATCTCAATGAAATACTTTTGGTAACCCATTGCTTCTCCTTTCTAGGCCTTCAATGGACAGCTTCTACTTTCCAGTTCTTCTGGAAATTAAATTCTGTGAAAACTTAAAAAAACTTTATCGAGATTAAAATTCATATATTACACATTTCAGCCAATTATAGTGTACAGGTCAATAGTTTTTAATATATTCACAGAATTATGTAACCATCACCACTATGGAATCCCAGGAAATTTTTATCACCCCCTCCAAAGAAATCACATTCGCATTAGTAGTTGCTTCCCATTTTCCCTAAGTACCCTGAGCCCCAGCCAACCACTAATCTACTTTCTGTCCCAGTGGATTTGCCTCTACTGGACATTTCTTATGTGTGGAGTCATAAAATCAGTGGTTCTTTGTAATTGGCTTCTTTCACTTAGCATAATGTTTTCAAGGTTCATTCATGTTGTAGCAGATACTTCATTCCTTTTCTGTGGCTGAATAATATTCCATTGTATGGATATACCACCTTTTCTTTATCCATTCACCAATTGATGGACATTTGGGTTGTTTCCACTTTTTGGCTATTATTAATAATGCTGCTCTGAACATTTGTGTAGTTTTTGTGTGGACATAATATTTTCAG